GGCGCTGTAATTGACTCTCCTCCAAGTAGCTGCCCAAAGGAGAGATGTATGATGTCAGCTTCCTTTTATGGCTCCTCCGACAATTGCCATATTACTCGTGACTTTTGGCGCGTCTCACTCTCCGAGCGGTCTCTATTTCTTTGGCTCCCTCTAATGATTTTTCGCGTTCTCTGTAACATCTCTTTGACTTCTTCCTCCTCGAGAATGTTCAAGAATCTTTTCGTTCCGGTTGAGCTACAATTGTTCATCCTAGCCTAATGTTCATGCAGTCTAAAGTTTTGTGAGAGGAGTTAAATGTTACTATTACGAATTTTTTGTCAAATTCAGACTCAGGCAATGGATCATTATGCGGATCTCGATATAAACAGTCGACAACCCCATGACCATCCCGGGAATATGAATTTTTTTGAATTGATAAGGCAATAAGGCAATCTACCCACCGGGTCAACCTGAATTGTTTCGTTTCATTTGATTTATTCCCATTTTGGCTTTTCCCCAAGGCTTTTTGGTCAGTGGCATTGACGAATCTTTTCCCTAGCAGATACGGTTTGTATCTCTCAACTACTAAATTAACCGCGAGTAACTCTAATTCATTTGTAGAGTATTTTTCTTGTAAATTTAGGTATCTGGTTGCGAAAGAGATTGGACCCCTTTCCCGCTCATCTGTTAGCTGCTCCAGGGTGGCCCGCAGTCCATTGTGGCTGGCGTCGCATTTAACCCTTGTTTTTCTATTAGCATCGTTTTAATGTACCTTCGAGATTTTGGCAACTGCGTTTTGGATACTTTCAAACACGGCTGTATGTCCTTCCCTCCACTCGAATTTTTCACTGGCAGTTTTATTTTTTTTCGGTTTTTTTAATAGTGGTCAAATCTTATCTGCAGGACTTTTTTAATTGATTTAGGTGGGGTGAGATTTTGAATGGCTTCTGTTCTGGTAAGTTTTGGTGCTAACCCCAATTCCGATAGGTGATGGTCTAATTAATCTACCTCATTTTTTGAGCATTCACACTTCAAATTTTCAGTGCCAAGTACTCATTGTCCCGGTTTTTTAGAAATTTTTCCATTAATTTTGCATGTTCTGATTTTTCGTCCTTCTGCACAATGAGGATATCGTCCAAAAAACAAAAAGTGTTTTTTGCATGGTTTATCGTTCCGTCCATGGCTTTTTGGAACTCGTGGGCATTTTTTGTCAATCCAAAAACCCTGTTAGGAACCTATAGGTTCCCGTTGCATTACCCCGACAATAATAAAATTGCACTGGCGGGCTGTATCTGCAGCCAGTTTTAATTGACTATACGCATATTCTAGGTCTAGCTTCATGAAGTAGAGTGTGCCCTCTTTGTTTTCAGTAAAAAATTGGCTCACTTCAATCATAAGTTCATCAACATTTGGTATCTGATACTTGTTTTTGAAAAGTTGCCTGATGATCAGTTTTGCATCTAGTGCCAGTTTTATTGAACAGCTCTTTTTAAATGTTATTGAAATTGGGGCAATGAAACAATGACTACTACACTTGTCTAGTTTTGTGATATGGCCTTCCATCAATATTTTCTTATTTTCCGCTTCTACTTTTTCTTTTATATGAATTGGTATTCTCCTGCCTTTCTCTTGAATCAGGCAAAGGGTTTAACAGAATTTTGAACTCACAATATGGTTTTTAGAAAATCCCTGCCTTTTTTTCAATCTTTGGACTGCTCGCACAGTAGCACGTCAAACCTTGACAGTTCCCTTGGACCTGGTTTCTATGTGGTTGATATTTCCACATGTCCTTGGAGGTCCAGACCCATTTTACATCTAGTTCTGCGTTCCGTTACTAGGAAGGTGGACCCTTTCACCTCCCGGCCTGCGGACTGAAAATTTGTCTTTAGTGCTCCCAGAAAATTAATCGAGTGTTTCTTGTAGTCTACAAACTGTGCCGCCAGATCTAATTCATTTGCCGGTATAAGCTTTCTTTGATTTTTCTATGATTTCTGTTTGTTCTTTAATTTAGGAAAAACACTGGACTTCCCGTATCCATGGGTAATTCTATTATCTGATTCTCTATTCGTACAATAGCCTTCAGTGTCCTTACTTTGTTTGATGTTGGGTCTCTGAGGAGATTGATTTTCTCTATTCTCACTTTCTGCCACTTCGTTCTTTGGTTTGTTTCTTTTCTTCTCTCCTTGACGTATCTTGAAATTATTTCCCCCTCTGGTGACAATATTTCTCAAATGATCTCAAATTCAATACACGACCCGGAATCTTACATTATTAGATTGCATTCCTCTTCAGACGTTTCAGAATCATCCGTAGTTTCGCTAACTTGTTGAGATCTACAAACTTTTACGAAGTGATTGGGTTTACTGTAGTTCTTGCATGTTTTCCCCATAACCGGACAAGGTTTCAGGTGTCCCGTCTCAAATGCGCGTACACTTCTATTACAGGGTTTTGTTTGTTCATCAGAGGTTTTGGATCTACTGCTATTTTTTTGTTCTTTTCCCGCTTGAAAAGTAGTTTCCTAGTAACTCCATTGGAAGTTTGTACTGCCATCACTGGCTCTTGTTTGACATTAATTCCCCAATTGTAAATTGTATTTGAACCCGCAGCTGCTGCTGCATTCGTTTTTGAAACACCATTTGTAGTCAGCTTTCTATGTTCAAGTTTTATAGCTCTTTTAAGTACTTTCTCTGGTGCGAGTGTTTCGAAAATCAGAGTATCTTGTAGAATCATGTTTTTCATCTTTGATATAAAAAAATTGCGATATAAGAGTTCACAATTCAGATCTTGCTGCTTGTGCAGTCAATGCCGCGTGAAATAACTTTAAGCTCTCTCCTTGTATCTGCGTTCTCGTGAAGAGTTTGTAATTTTCAGTTACGCAATTCACTTTTTGGATCGAACCCGATGCCAGTTCATTGATTTCATTGCAAAATTTTTTGGTTATTTCCGCGTTTTTTTTTCAAAAAAAGCCTCTTCTTCCCTTCCATTCCCAGAGAGAGGAATAGTCTGGATACGAGCTTCTTTCCCAATTCGTTATCATAAAACTTCTGATCAACCCTTGGTCCTCGTGCTTTTCTCTCTTCGTTCTCGAGTGTCACTATGTCTTTCGCTAATTTGACTCTGAGATCTCTTGCTGCTCTTGCAGTTGCGTCTTCCCCCTCACTTGGTGTTTTTTGTCTTGAGGTTATTCTTCCAGTATTTCAAGCATTATTTCTGGATTGACATTCTCCTTGACTGCCATTAGAATTTGCACTAACCAAATTTTAAATTGCCACGGTGGGTTTAGATTCACTGAAGCCCAGAACACTGGTATTACCAAATCAGTATGATTGTCTTGAGCTGAGAATTCTGCTGGCTGCGCCATTTATTATCCTACGAGTCTTTTTTGATGGAAACTATTTTACTGTTCCAAAGAGTTAAGTTGTTAATCGAGTTAAAAGTTTTATCTGTGAGAACTGCTGAGATCTACGTAGATTCGTGTTAGTCTGATCAACTACCGAAAATGATGTCAACCTTAAAAACTTCCAGATTGTCAGGTTCGCCCCGTCCTGTTCATATCTTATTTCTAATTAAATCAAACTGCCCAAACTTATTCATAGGGTTTCAAAAAATCAGGGTCTTTAAGGCAATTCAAATTCTAAAGTTTTTTCCTAGTGGCAAAACAGCCATCTAACTGCTATCATGACTTCAACACAATACTAATTATAGGCTAAAAAATCAACAGAGAGCACCTCTCCAGCGTCTCAGATTAGCAACAGGTTACTTCGTTCTGAATAAAACCAAGCGTTAACCATAAAAACATGAAAAGATATGGGTACTCATCATATTTCATTATAATGCTTTTCAGAAAAACAACCAGATATCTTTTAACTGTTGCCGGTAAAGAGTAACAGATTTTTTATTGGTGCTTGTAAAAAAGTTTTCACTAATTCTTTTGAAAATCACTTTACATTTGTTTTTTTTTTGTTTTAACATATCAAAAGACTGAAAAGAGAAAGTTGAATCTTCAATCATACGCAAGTGGACAAATTTCTGCAAAAATTCAGGTTTTTACTCTGTAAACTGCTTGTTTTCAATATCCATTTCGCTCAAGTTTCACGTCGAATTTCAGCAAACTTTTTATATAGACGGAGAGCAAATGATCAAAGCTAAATTTTCTATTCTGCACCAAAACTGGGTGGGAGTCAACTCTTTCTCGAAAAAACGGAGAAAAAATAAGTTGTCCGTTCCAACTTGAAACGTTTTCAGCAAGAAAATTGAATCAATCAACGTGAAACTTTTTTGTTCCGACCATTGTTTTAGTTTTTTATTCTTTTTTTTTCACTCAAAGTCAGGTACCACAAATAATTAAGTGGACTGGAATGAGTGATATATATGAGATTAAAGCCTTTACATTCGTGATTCGAGCCACATCAAGAAATTTCAAAAAGTTTTCCCAGTGTCGAGAAAAACCGGTTCGAAATTTTCGAGCTTTCTTCTCAATTCGAGCGAATAAGGCATGCGAGCAGTCTTAAACTCTTATAATAGCTGAATTTAAATTGTAAAGTTTAGTTTTATTTGAGTAGAGTTTGCTTACTTTCAGTATTTTATCGCCTTTTGCGAAACAAAGTTTTCATAAATTCAAAAAAAACTGAAAAAACTTGAAGATTATTTCGAGACTTTTTTTAAATTTTTTTTTCGTGTTTCTAACACTTTGTATTCGGAAACTCTTCATAAAAAGACTTATTAGGTTTTTTTAATTATAAAAGTTTCGAAAAATGAACTCAAGCCACAAACCAACCTAAATCATTTGCAATTGCCATTCATATGCTAGTCGCTTCAAACTATCACCACATTAAATAGCTCAAACGCCATGACAAAATCCCTGTGCTCTAGAAAAATAATATTTGAGAAACAGCTTATTTTATTTTTTTCTGAGTAGATTTCGGAAGGAATAAGCTATAAACAAGTATATGACTTCCCAGGTAAGTTTCTGTAGCTGATTTTTATATGACTGCAAAAGTTTTTAACCTGAATACTGTCAATTAAAAACTATATTTAATTCTAGTTCCAAATGACTCAACTGAAACAAAAAACTAACAAATATCCTTTTTAAACTGCTGAAACTTGCTTCAATGTTTTTGACTCTATTTTATATCAGTTTTTGGTTTTTACCCTATTAGTTTTCGAATTGATAATGTTAATTTCTTTTATCATTTTGTGATGTTGTTGATGTTAATTTTCCTCTCTTTCACTTGATGTTGGTGGCAAATGTGGTCTGTAATCTTCCCGTGTTTGATGACGCATTGCTACTGTGCCCGAGGAGAAGTTCCGCGAACTCTGCGAAGTCCACTTTGCCGTCCCTGTTGACGTCTGCCATGTCCATCATGAACTCAATCTCTTCGTCTGTCATTTTCTCCCCAAATGTCTTCAAAATTGACCTGAAAAGATACCATTTCACGTCTCGTAATCAACGGGGTTATTATCATGGCAGAAATTCCGATTGCTAGAAAATTTTCTAATCACGCAATGACTGTTAAACATTTTCGAACTCACTGATTTTCAATCTAATTTGCTTCACATATTTTCGCTCATTCAGCCTTACTGCCATCATAAAACGCATTCAAGAAGTTGGTGATGAATAATCGCCCATTACTTATAAAGTAATTAAAAAAACGCAAGTAATTTCTAATCAAAGGTAGCGCAGTATTCAGCGAACAACTACACAAACGTTATTAACTTCTCAAAGTATACATATGAAATCTACAAGAATGTGAAACACATGTGACACTGCTACATTTGCTGACGCGAATGAAGAAATAAAGTTTTACATGAGAAGTTGCTCAGCGCGGGAGTTTTTGGGTAACAGGAGATACCAGCTAGAAACGGGAAGTCTATTTCTCTAGTACAATCAGCGTGTTATTCACAACGGTAAATGATACTCACAAAAAACTGCCGCTTATTTTATTATGAAAAATAGCGTCTCAATTACTCGTGACACTCACTTGAGGTCGTATAAATTGAGGTAACTTTTGCCCTCTTTGTCCAGGGTCTTAAAGGCGGCAACAAGGGATTCAGGAGTGTCAGGAGGGATGCGGTTGCACAGCCTTGAAAACTCATCGAATGAAAGCTTCTGGTCATCTGAAACAGTACTTTTGATAATATAATTAATAACTGATATCTCTGCTTGTAGAAAGTAATTTTCTCCGAATTCTCTGTTATGTTCAATTTTTAGTTGCATTATTTGTTGTGCCCCGCATTGGAGTTTCATGGATACTACAATGCAAAAAAAATCGTTTGCACGTTTTTGTTGTTTGAGGGCGTTATTGGAATCAATTATATTGCATGATACTACTTTAGACCACAAAAATATTTTATGAATGATCGCAATTTTAGGAAATGAATCGAATATCCTGGACTTCTCCTGACTGGACTCTTTTGCTATTCGTGGCATCTTATCAAACGTAAGCTTACTTTCGCTTGTCCGTAAACCCGCTTGCCCGTATTCCAGTTCTTGTACTTGGTGCAAGTTTTGTCAATTTGGTCACTTTTTAGGAAAACACATGCACTTCACATTTTATCATTTTGAATCCCTAGTATCAACGCATTCAAAATATTAAAGGTTCACTGGATACTGATGATGACAATTCATGATATGGAGTTGGCTTGCTTTTTTCCGACTTTCGAAGAAAGTGGCGGAATTATTTGTTCGCGGGGGTGGTGTTTTTTTCTCCGGACCATTTCGAGCTTGTTGATATCATCCGACAGGTAATGTCGTCCTTTTGCATATTTATGGGGGTTTAAAGATTGCTAATTTGACCAATTTGTGATATATATCTTCTGCTATTGACGCGTAAGCGGAGTTTGAAATGAGGCATGCTATTCCAAATCTTTCCAAATTGAAATGACGCATGCTATTTGATCTATTTACTACTTACTACTTTGCTACATATATCACTTATGGCTTTACTTTACTTAAGCGTGAGGGGGGATAGTTTCAAAAATAAATTCAGAAAAATTTGATCAAAATTTTCAAACTGAACACCACTGCATAGACGTTAAAAGTAGTCTTAACATTCAGTTTTTCGCCCTGATACAAGAAATCTTGCTTAATCTTTCGAAATGAAGCTAAGTTAATTTATTCAATTGGTTAGTTTGTTCCTCGTTTTCATAGTTTGTGTTTCTGTAGTTATCTTTTCTTGCAGCTATGAGTGATTTCAAAAAACCATTTGACACAATTGGTACTGGACATTATTTTGTCTCCACGACAATTTCATTTTTGTAACTAGCCATTTTTGAAGCGAATTTTTGTATTTATATATATGTTCACGCTGTCCAGAGTGGGTTTGAAACCAAAATAAGCAAACGGTAAAAGAACATTTGCAAAAATCAGAATCGATGAAATGAATTATGGAAAATTATCAATGTGCTACAAAGTCGGCAGAGCACAAACATAATTAAGAAATCGAATGAGTTAAACAAAACTCGTTATTGTTATTTGAAACCCACAAAAATTTTGGTCATGTAAGTTGGCGCTGACTCACTTTTCGCCCGAAGGTGCTATCTGCCGGTGTTAAAATTGGAACAGTGGGTGGGCTGTGCCGTAAAAACACCGGCAGAACGCAGCCAAGAAATGCATTTATATTAAGAAATGCATTTATACGTTGTAATGCTCAAAATGTTGCGTTTTATAACACGTAGAAGCGGCGAGTTAAATAAACCTAAGTTAATTTGAAGTAACTTGGTGTTAAAAAATAAAATAAGACGCTAAAACCGAACACTTTGTGTTTTATACAGAATGAGGAGTTTCAGGATGTCAATTTTTCTAAACAGTTTTGTCCATTTTTTCCATCCTTTTGATTTTGTGAGATTTTTGGAAGCAAAAACCCTTTCTTTGGTTTTAAGAGGCAACCGGAACCTCCTCGCTCTGATATACGATCAATTTTGTTGTTCTGACTTTCAAAACGTTTGAGGAGTATATGTGCTTGTTTTGGTTCATACCAATTTCAAAAGAGCATTTGTTTGTGGGGAATGCTTTCACGGTTTTCATTGTCCCAAAGGGGGTGGGTCTTGACCGCTTTGCTTACTTGACACTATAGTCGCATTGCAACAAGTAGTATACATAAATTATTCGATGCTAAAATTGTCACGCGAATTGTTTATGCGTAAAAAACACCGCATTACAAAATCGTTCAAAATTGAATTGAGGCAACCTAATTGGTCGTAATATCTCCGAAAACGACTCAAACCTTAGAAGTTAATTTTTGATTTTATCATCTCAAAATTGTGAATTTGACTTGAATCCAAGTATTTTGAATTCAAGCATCTGTTCTGATATACGAGCAGTCTTGTTCCGTGTTTTTGCTAATTTATGTCAACCAGTTTCAGAAAAAAATTGAAGATGAATGTTCTTGTAAGGCGTCGTTCCTTGACTTAAACAATTAGTTATAAAATTGAACAAGACTGCTCGTATCATGGCGAAGCCCTGAATGTTTTGACTGCCTTTTAAGGTCTATGGAGCAAAATATAACATGGAAAAATTAAATGAAATAGAAAAAAAATTTAAAAAAAAAATTAGTTTTTTTTTTGAAAATCATCCCCAACACGCCATATAAAGTACAAAGTGATTGATTTCGTTCCTAGGAACATATCAATCATGGAAAATAAGCTTCCTTGAACCAACTTGGAACGATTTCTAAGGCGGATTAAATCTCCTCTTACGCGTTAATAGCTTGAAATATATCGCGTGTTAATTGTCCAAAATTGGCCAAAACGGCAATCTTTAAACCCCCATAACTTTACAAAAAATGATCACAGGTAAAATATCTTTTAGAACTTAAGCTCAGTGCAACAATAGCTTTTGAATGATATAAAGAAATTCCGTCAAAAATGGCTAGTTAAAAAGTCGAAATTTATCTGAAGAAAAAAACCCACCCCGAGCACAAATATTCAGTTACTTTCGTTACGAAAGTCGGAACAATAATTAGTTTCAGATAAAATTAGGTTTTAATTAGATGAGCTGAAATTCTAATTAAGATACTAGGTTTTTTATATGCGCCATAAATTTGAATTAATTGATTAACTTCAAAAATATAAGAGTTTCCTGAAAATCTGTTATCTTTTTTATCAAGCTTTCTTCTATGCTTTTGAAGCTTAGTTATTCGGCCACAAAAGTTTCATCTGTTCATTTGATTCTCATATTAGTTATCAAAACTTTTGGAAACTATTGTATATTGGAAAGCTTAGGAAAAGCTATTTATGTTTTTAACCATACTAACTTTATTTTCAAGCCACGGATAAAAAAAAATACAAGCGTCCTTGCCAAAAAACACTAATCAGTTCTTCATCGTTGCATAGATCAAGATCTCTTAGTAAATGCAAATAACCCGCTAATTTCGATTCATTAATTTTGAAAACTTTTACAAGTAATTTTTTGTCAAATTGACAGAACTTGTTAAAACTTTCTATTAGTATAAAATGTTATTGGTCTTCTATTTTTTAGTGATGATTTTATTGTGAGCTGGATGTCAAATAACCTTAGTGTAAAGTTTTCCGAGGTTACTTTTTGCAAGCCAAAACAAATGGAGCGGCCTTGATGTTTGGAACGCGACATGAAATATCTGTGCGAGCTATACATTTCGAATACCAAAAACAAAATTCACCCTGAAAAAATTGTCATATTCATAGTTATTATTAGCTCAAAGTTTTTGTTTGTACTAACTATTTCCGTCGTACTGCTCAAAAATCTGCTTCATTTCACTCATTTTCGGGTTCAGTCCCTGCATCTGCATGGCTTTCCTCAGCTCCTTCAAACTGATGCTGCCGTCTCTGTTGACGTCGAACATCTCAAACACCTCCATCAGGTAGTCATCCCCTCCGCCTTGTGGACCTGGCCTTGACTTTTTTCTCTGTTTCATCTCCTGATCTCTTTGGTTAGTTATTTCCCTGTGGAAATTTGATTTGATTAGACGCAGCAGATATACATGCATCAGGCATCATAAAAGCATGGCGAAAAACGCTTCGACTCAAAAAACATTCGGTCGAAAATCCCTCGACTTACGCACAATGCTCTCCATATTTTCATATTTATCCTCAGAAGAGTTTTCTGTGCCATTTCTGTGGATGCAAAAGTTTTTTCTGGAAAATGTTTACTTAGGCATAGATGCATTTTTGAACTACAAAAAATAAATAAAAAAACAAGGAAAGTCGGTTACTGTGCAAACAGCACAGAATGTTCCGACCAGTCATAAAAATTAGTCCAATCATTAGTCTTAATTTTTCGGCTTGGTGTGATAAAAGAATCTGATCAAAAAAGTAAAACTTGTGCATTTTAGTCAGTCAGTGCAAGTTATGCAGATTGGAAAACAGTTTTTGAAGACAAATAACAAGAAAAATTTAAAAAAAAAACAAAAAAAAACATTCATGTTTTAATAATTTTTCAAAACTTTTTTCCCAAATGCTATAAATTTTCGATTCCTAAGATGAAGTTTAAAACTCCAGAAACTAAATTCATTAGAAAAAACTAATTTTTCAAGGTTCAATTTAAGCATAAATAAGCTAATGTAAGCCTGATCACCCGCTCGAAATTAGACGGAAAGTTAAAAATTTCAAGCCGATTTTTCTCAACACCGGGAAAAATTTTTCAATTTTTCGATGTCGTTCGAATCACGACTGAAAAAAAAATTGATTTGATATATCACTCAACCTAGTCCGATGATTATTTCTGGTAGTTGATATTGGCGTGGTAAACAAAAAAAACCTGCTCGCTTGCTTTAATCGTTCAAATTAAGACCAGAAATTAATAATTTCAAACCGGTCTTTCTCGACACTAGAAAATCTTTTCGGAAAGTTCTTACTGTGGTTCGATTTCGAATTGCGACTGAAAAGGTTTTTATATGATATCTCACTCAACCCAGTCCGCAGATTATTTGTGGTACCTGATTTTGCAAGGAAAACAAAAAGAAAAAACTGAAACCCAGCCGAATACAAAGTTCCTACTCACTTTCAATGGTCGGAACAAAAATTTTCCCCTCTAATTTTGAAGTTTCAATTTGATTCGTATGCTTATCAACCAATTTTTATCTTTACAAAAATTCAAAAATAATACAACTGTTTCTTTAAAAACTATTATCCATTATTCACAAAGTATGATTTTTTTATTCTATGGTTTTTAAGTTCTTGATAATGAGATTTATCAGTTTCAAAGAACTAAAAATCGCTAGTCATACACATTTTTAATAAAAATTACAGGTAATAGGAACATTGCTTAAATGGATTTCATGTAAGTATTTGTAAGCTACACCTTTTTAGATAAAGGGGTTCAACACGGAAGCAGAGATGGTTTTATTTAGATTGAAAAAAAAAACATTCAGGGAAGCGCAACCCGGGTTGACCAAATGCTGGTCATACAATTTTCATTAATGGAATAAAAGATTTGTATACAAATTCGTACTTTTCCATAGAAGCAAAAATGTCTGAAGTTAGGACGACCAGCCTTTTTTCCATTAATGGAATAGTATGACATGCATTTTTCCATTAATGGAATTTAATGACAAGCATTTACTCCTTAGATTGAAACTAATAAATGTCAGTTCAGGTCAGTATCTTACAGATGAAAGATGAAAAATGCCCGGACAGAAAAAAAATTTGTTCTAACACACAAAAAATTGAGTTTCCTAGACGTATTAGGATGATGGATTTTATGAATAGTTTCGTGGGAAATAGCAAAACCAAGCCCTGAAAACCCAGTGGCACAAAGGTAACAGTTTTCAAGTGCAGTAATTTTTGCAAACTTAAGCTGTTTACTGTAGCTGTTTACTGAGTATAAAACTGAAATCATCAAGTTACTTGACGACTCTTCGAATGCACTTCAAATACTTGATTCTTGCCGGCTTTCTTTTATACAAAAACTCCAAGTTGTTGCATTTTTGGACGCAACATAAAACTTTGAAGCGAGCCCCCTTTTTCTATTTTACTGAAAAGGGTTATACAGGTATCATATGTAGAAAACTTCTTATCATATAATTTTTATAAGCAGAAAAAGCTATTCGGAGAATTGTCATACAACTTTCGGTGAGTATGGAATGATATGCAAATGGATTGTTCGCGTTTTTCCAAACTCACTTGACTCAATCAAAAAATTGTCAACAATTTCTGAAAACTGGAACCTGATCTAAACTATATTTTATGATTGGATAAATTAAATGTTTTACCAATGTAAAGTATTTAATATTAACCAATCATGATCCATCTAACTAACAACCCACTTATTTGTAAGTGCTGAAGTTACTTGTAATTTCAGCACCAGAGAGATTTGAATTTAACTTAGAAATTAGTTGGACTCTCCCGAGCACTTCAGCAGCCGCAATAAACCAGTATACCCTAGATCTATTGAGCCTAGCAGAGACTAGTTAAACAACCTGAGACTAGATAGTATAAGAGTAAGATTAGGATCGGTATTAGACTAAGAAGTTGCACGAATCTATCCGGCCGAAAATAAGATAGCGTGACGAGCAGACGGTGTACCCTATCCGAAATTACTCTATGAGTTACACTCCAGTCCTAACTCATCTGGTGCGACCATAAGTCTCGAACAAGACCTTACTAGATTAGAATTAACCAAAAATAGATTAGAAATTAGACAAAAACATTTACAAAATGTTATACGACAATAATTTAATTGAAATGTCTCTCCGACTCAATAGATCAGAGCCAATATTCCGAACCATAACAGAACTACCCGGAATTGGAAGAAGACCTCGAACCAAAGACGACATACGACAAAGTAGAAACTTGCCGTATAGTTATATGATAGTTCGGCAAAAGCCAGAACAAACTTTTATATTTCGAATACTACTTGCAATGAATTTAGATTTCCATTTGCAAACATAAAACCTTGAAGTTACTCTTCAAAATCATTTCAGGCGCTAAACAAAATTAATATTATACAATAACGATTGATAAAAAGATCTAAGATCGTTTTCCTAAAACTCTGCAGTAATATACAAAACATGTTTGAAAAATATTTATTGGAAAATAAAAATAAAAATTAGTAGCATGACAATAAATGGTTAGTAATCATAAATCATCCTGTTGTTCCAGCTTCATCACCTAAAACATAACAGCAATCATCAACTCACTAACATCATAAAACACTAAATCTTTCCTTTACACAAATTTAAAACTTTATTAAAACTTAAAGTCACTTAATTTTAAAACCAGATCATCAAGGCTTATCCTTGGATCTTAAATCATTTTCTACTTAATTAAATTTCAAATTTGATCATCAAGGCTTATCCTTGGATCAAACAGAACAACTTTGTTCTCCCCCACCCACTTAATTAGTGTCTAACGACCTCAAACGTCGATTCACTACCCAACCCTTTCTAAAGACCTAAGACTAATAGAAATTTTTAAACAAAACTAATCATTCAAATTAGGATAAATAGTGAAGAACTTCGGTTATTCATCCTTCACTTGACCCCCCCTCTTACCAGACCCAGGATAAATCTTAGACTTAGTAAGTTTAAAATAGTATCTAACGAACTACTCGCGTTCTAATTATACCTGAACCTTGTGGATCGATTTACTATTCTCCAACCCTTGAACACAATCACTACCCCTAAGTAAGATTAAGTAAGTTAACACCTTAGCTTATACTAGTCACGAGAAAGTAAAAATCATTCTTCGGAATCGATATACTTTTCTCTCCAACCCTGAACAAATAGACCCAGGCTAAGCTAACCAAAAAATCGTAAGAACTAACAGTTTAGGAAAATAGAAATCATTTAACAACCTTTGCATCCGTCATTCTAAACCTTATGTCATTTAAAAACCTAGGAAATAAACAAACAATCATTTTACACAATTGTGAAATAGATAACAAAAAATACGACCTTGTAATCACACCTCATACACAAACAGTTGGATACATTCGAACAAAACGACAAACACTAAAGAGGAAAATAATAACAAAACAAAGACAAATAACACGAAAAAGATTTTCAAAAAATCGAAACGCATTTTCAGAATCAGAAACCAACAGTTTAGACGAACTTTACAAACTAAAAGAATCAATAGATAAAAATTACCCACTTCACGATCAATTATATTTTTCTGACTCAGAAACAACTTCAAATTCATCACAAAGAGGAAAAAGAAGAATAAAAAAACAGTACAAACACAAACCAGTACATCTATACAATTGGAATCAACCAATTCGACACATTAATAATTACATATTAACAGTCATCGAAAGAAAAAATGAGCTCAACGCACACTCCAGGTGAAGAAACTCCAGATGATGATGAAATCTTTCCTTTTATAGTAGATGCAGATACCGATAGAGGACAACACATATTTTGTCAAAATTTACTCGTAAATTTATTTGAACCCGGAATTAGTCCATGTAAAACAGAGTTCCCCGATGTAAAAATCAAAAGACAAATCATAGATCACTATCTAAAAGATATATGCAACATAACACAACAGTATGGAATCTACTCTATAGAATTCACTTCCCCAAACCATAATAATAGAACATATACTATTCAAACAGACGATCTTGATTTAGAATTTTCAAAAGTTTTTTCAGAATATATAAAAAGCATCCAATACCATAACTCACAAAGAGCAAACTCCATTTTCACCAATGAAGTTTTCGCAATAATATATAGTTATATTTCGATATTAGAAAATGAACTACCATTAACAAATGTCTCACCGACAGAAACATCTAAACATTTAAGAGTACGACATGAAATCACACTACTCTCTAGTTATTTAAACATCATTAAAGAAAATTTCACGAAAGACGACGTTTCACAACATACCAAACACGATTTACAAAAAATCTTGGCATGGTTCATAATAGATTATTTCACACATAATATTGATTTAATTGCACAAGCAAGAAAAAATTTTAGACCCCAAAACTCGAACGATGA